CGGTGTATTTTGATATATTTTATGATTTCTTGGTATCGCGTACATCGTTTGTTGGCCCTGTCTATTCTGATTTTGCGCCCTAGTTCTATCACCGATTATAACGACGGTATGGGATGAACGAGGGATATTAACACTTACGCCATTGCTCGATCTAGATAACCAATCTCTTCTTTCAGTGGCCGGATAAAATTCTCTCTCGCGATCCCTCCGAAGTCTCGCTTCTCTAATTGCTACGAGAGCTTCCCAAACGTCACTGTTATTAACGTACAATTCTACATTAGCAGTAGAAAAGTTATCAATTACATTGCGTCTTCTTAAATCGTTCAATTGCGAATTCGATCTCTGAGATCTATATTCTTGTTCTCTTTCTCTATTTCGATCATCTGCCGACTCATCGTTCGCAGCTTCGCTATTATCCTCCGCAGAAACAATATATCTACCATCTTGTCTATCCTCCTCTTGATTCGCGTTCGTTCGAGAATCGTTCGAGCTTACTTCAACTAAACCAAAATTCGTCCTAACGAAGTTCCTTTCCGGTCTTGGACTTCTCGATTGCGAACGTACGTTACGACGCGAACTTTCCCGCCAACTCATTGCTCTTGATGGTGTTATCGGTTGAGAATTTTCTGTAGAAGCGAATGAGTTTGGCCTTACATCAGATACAGTGTGAACGACTCTCGCACGATTTGCGCTCTCAATCACGAAGGACGACGTTATTCCTGAACGTGAAGACTGCGGCTGTTGCGACTCTTCAAATTCTTCGATCGTCGATTCGTTGAATTGAGACGTTTCTTCAGCTTCTTTCACTTGATCGATACACTCGGACATATCTCTTTCTTGAATATCATGAATACAAGTCCACTAAAAATAAATGATTATACATGAAAACTAAGAATATATAAATTCATTGAATTAATTAGATACTATTTTATACAACGTGATATTGAACCTCTGACTTTTCTCCATTACTGATATTTCGGGACAAGGCACACCATCCTTGCGGATGTACTTGAAGACTAGAAATTACTTCAGCATCATCTCCAACAGGAAAATCCGTTAAGAATTCTACTCTGTTATGTGTACGAGAATGAGAAAACAAATGTGTATAAGTGGCAGCAACCGGTATAGTGGTTTGAGATAATTGCATCAGTCGATACATGTTAGGCTATATCAAAAAAAAAAGATATATTACTATTGTGTAATACTTATGATATGTCCACTATTTGATATGATTAATACCTTGAATCCAGCCAAGTCTTGTGCAAGGGTACTTAATTTGAGATTGTGTATAATAATAAGATATCCAGATGTAGTACATATTAACATTTTACTGGCATCAGGGCTAAGTCTCGTTCGCATCAATCCATTTGTATGAAAGACACGAGTATAAAGAAAACTATTTTCAGTAAAACTGCAGCACACAAATTATGAGATAATTTTATCAGAATAATATATCTTATTCACTAAATTAATAATAGCTACCTATTAATATCCCAAGTATATATGCTACCGTCAAATCCACTAGTTAATAATAAACCATCCTTTGGACTATATTCTATATTCTTAACCCAATTAGAATGTCCTTGCAAAGTTCTTATTCTCTGCTTCAAGTTTCTAGCATCCCAGAGAGCAACAGTACTATCATCAGAACAGGTAGCAAACATCCGTTGATCCAGGAATCTATCATCAGTATAAGATTGATGGCATATTTATCTGATTCAGAAAATTTGTAATATAATTAGAACAAGCAATACCAACCTTACGCAATTCACACAATCATTATGAGCATTATCTATAGCTCGTACTAATTTCCTACATAATGGATCGAACATTAGAATACTTTTCTTTTCACATGCTGCCAGTAAAAGTGATCTGTAAAAAGCAATGTGCAATTAAATGTTTTATTTAATATTTACTTAGATATTTTTAAAAGCAACATTTTTACCCATCTGGCGAATACTCCAAATTAAAAACACCACCATGTCTGGCAACAGCCAAATTGTCTCCATGATCCCAAGATGTTATGGGAAAAATGGAAGAGTAAAGAGTTTTGTGAAAACGATCACTATGACCCAGAGGAAATCTTATGCCTAGTTCGCGTTGTCTTATCCATAAATTGTTTGACGTTTGCTTGGTTTTTATTTTAGGCATTTCACCCGAATACATATATTTTCTACATTCAAACGAAGCTGTCTATTGATACAAAAACAAGTCAAAATATGTTTGATAAATTGTGAACTTAATTATAACTTCAAAGAAAATTTCTGGCTCTTCCTTTTGCCTAAAAAACCAGTCTTTGCTATTTCAGTAATAAAAACGGTTTTAAATTAAAAATTCGTTGAATCTTTAAGACTAATCGAGATCCTATACATAGGATCAATTTAAACACGATGGTTCAAGGTTCACGCGAGATTAGGTTAAGTATAAAATGCCACTTGTGGACAAAGTTGCACGTGACCTTTCAAAAAATGTTTTTACGTTTTTTCTCGTTAAAGATCCTTGGTGCGATCTTGAATTTTATGAACAATATATCAAATGACTATATTCTCTTTTCCTGTCACGTTTCGATAAGATTCAAATAAAGTTTAAAAACCAGACACAATACAAATCCACGCCATCTTTACTTTGACGTTTAACATCGATATCTCGCAGTAGCTGTCGACTAGCGATTGTACATTAGAAATCAGTATGAATCAGCTACGAACTTCACCTGAATACGCGAATGTATAAGGTTATGATGACCATGCAACCCTCTACGCTGACTTTTTTCTTTTAGTGCCCTCTATAGAAAAAATCATGAACTCCTCTTTTAAAAAGAAATATATATATATCTATCTTTTGTGTATACATCTCTTGTGAAGCAAGCATCGAAAAGTATTGAAATTAAAGCGTGAGTAATGATCAACAGGTGTTCGAAAAAATACTAATTTTAATTGTATTCGTCATTTTATTCCTTGTAATACATTCTTTTGCTATTACTTTCACCTTAAATTATATAAAGAATATAGATAAATAAAAGAAAAAGAAGATAGAGATAAAGAGATGTAACGAACGTGTAATTTCTATGAATACAAAGATACTTCTTCTATGATACACTTCTACGAAATTATATGTTTACGTCATTATTATCTTGCAATATAATCTTTTATTTGATTTCGAAAGCTTGATAAATAAGTCAAATTTGTTTCATTTGAAACCATTAGAAATTAAACTATATACACAGAAGTCGTCTCCATGGACATAAACAAAATAAGATCGGGCATTTGATCTCGAGCTGACGCTCGGTTAATCATTTTAACGTAAGACCTTGACCTTGATCTTTGCTCTTAGAATAGCGTACGTATTTTAACCTAATTTTTATTGTTATTCTTCTAGCATACATTCTTCTTTTGTAATTTCTTTTGTAATTTTCACATACAACAATCTACGCACATTAAAATTGAAATAAATTATCATAATTAAATTTTATGTATTATTATTTTTATATTATAATTAAGATTATGTTAATGCAATGAATCAGCGAGTAGCAAGATATCAAATATATGATCTAACAACATATTTTTTTATTTTGTTGAGAAATATATTACTATGCATTACATGGAAAATTTTTATTATTTTTGTGAGTTTTTTAGATGTAACAATTTATTACAGATAATGAGACACAAACAATTGATATTGCTTTTAGGTTATTTTCACAAGCAATACTGAGCGAATTGACTCAGGGATTTGAGTGCACTTTGAAATTTCTTAATTAGAATATTTTCATTGTTATTCAAAGTGCACTCAAATAATATTAATTTTGTTGAACGTACAAGTCTTCTTCCAAGTAGTGCAAATTGAGTTAGAAATTTTTGTTTGGAGAAAATAAAGTAAAAAAAGCGAGAACATTGCAAAAGATTGTTAAATTCATTGGAAAGATCGAATTTTCGAGGAACAAGTTTAAAGATCGAGGATGAAGAAACGCGTAGCTCTTTCGTACGTACGCGGTTTCCGAGTGCGCGAAGAATAGTGGGGCGCATTGATGCGCGGAGCGGCCACTCCGCAGCGCTCCCCTTTAACGAGGAACACATAAAATCAAAGAAGCGAAAGAGTTACGTTTGCGGTTTCAATATGAGACAATTTCTTCCTACATTTTCTGTTATCCTTTACCAGGGGGTCCCCGAGAACTGGCCTGCCCCACGTTCGATCGTATTCCATATTCTCTCTAATATCATCCTTTCCTTTAATTTCATTATTCAACATTTTAACCTCTATTTGTCAATATAAAAAATATCGAAAGTATCTTCAAATATTTTATTGACCACGTCGAAGTAGTAAGAAAATTTTCATTTGTCAATTAGCATCGAAAATAAAAAAAAAAAAAAAAAAAAAAACTACTAATTAAATTAGATATAATTAAATCTAAGAATATTTTTCATTTACACAGAGATTAAATAAAGATTAGTAACCTAGAATAGAAGAATGTTTGATTTTTTTCTTGTATTTTTTCCGAAATATTTTGATGCGCTTATGTTTATTTTTTTTTTCTTTTTTTTTTATGAAAGTACGAGTAACACAGTTTTGGACTTTCGACACATTTAAACGTGGAATAAGGCTCGTGAATTGTAATCTCGAGAGCTTACACCATCTCCGGATACTCGCCTGTTCTTCGGGGAGTCTCACGGTGTAGAAACTGCTCGAGAGAATGCGTGTAATGCGTGTACGTACACGTTACGCCCACTCGCGTTAGCGTCACCGACGTGCCACTTCGATGTATTTATGAACGTAGCTTACCTGTATTCTATGTAGTTATATGCTGTATACGAGCTAGCATTCAACACGACGATTCTCACATGTACTGCTGCATGTCTCCGATATCGTGTTTGTAACATTCTACGCGCAAACCCTCATGTCTGTATCTTTATCTTTCCTATATATCGCTTCTTCATATACGGTGGAGTCATATCAATGCTCGGCTAGTCGCCATTTTGTCGGTAGTACAAAATTTTCGACTTAGACAATTTTAAGGTTATGAAATACATTTATTTTTGATCATAACATTTTCTTCGACTTGCATTTAAATAGAAACTATCTTAATATCGCTACTTTTTTCATTGATCATACGTTGAAAATTGACAGACGTTAAAAACGGCAAGTTATTTTCCAAGAAGAATTTTTCTCGTAGCACCGAAGTTTTGACCAGCTTGAGTTGCACCTTTATTGGTACCTGCCTGTAAACCAATAAGCGTCTCACCGGCTCTTAATTGTTCTTCCGTAAATGACCGTTTGTTCTCTTCTGCTGGCTTCGGTCCTAGCCAAGGTCCACGCCATTCGGGATGCTTATAACTCTGTGAATCGCATCAATGAAATAAGAAATACTATAACTATAAATAATATATCTCATAAATGGAAAGAAGAATTATGTGTCATTTAAATTAAATTACAGTGCGTCCAATAGCGAAGATAGTATTTGTAACTTGAGCAATATTCTTCCGTTCCATAAGATCGACTGCTTGGAAGAGATCCACGTCAGGAACGCCATATTTCGTGCAGGCTTTCTGAAATCTAAAAACAATATTTTTCAATATAATTAAAGGAAAAATTGAGTTTTTTATAACAACATGAATGAAAAGAAACTATGACGATTTCAAGATAATCATCGTCAAGAAATCATCTCGTAAAAAGAAAAAATTAGAATGGAAAAAAAGCGAGGTTAGATAAGGTTAGAGACAAAGAATGATATGTAAAAGAAAGCTCGAAAGCGCGAAACTCAAAGGGAAAGGCGAACACGAGTTCGATGAGCAAGCTCCTTTCTATGGATGTTAGCCTGTACGATGCTTCAAGTCGGTGACGCGTTTCTATTGTCTCTGAGCGACAAGAAGACATCGTCGAGACGCGTGTACATTGATTTCTGTCAAAGAGGAATATCATCGTCGTCGTCGTCGTCGTGGAGCATACGAAGAAGAGGACGTCTAACTAGAAACGAAATGCCAACATCCTCGCGTCTTCGTGCCGCAAGAACGGCGCGCCACGCGTACTCCTCAAACAGGCAAACAGAAATCAAAGAGCTTTTTCATTGGTTATTCTATCGGAGCGCGAATTCTTTGCAAGCTAAAACAAACTTTTATTACCTCTTATGAACATACATTCCTATGATGCCGCGCGACAGTCGCGTATGAGCACCGAAAGACAAAAAGGACGCAGTTCTTGACACGATACCTGACGAACGCACGAAATTCTTGTTAACTTTACTTTCTTTTTGTTAAATCTGAATAATTAATAAATGATCGATCGTAAAATTATTCGATTCGAACAATTAATATTCCTATAACATCGTATAACTTTCAAGTCATATATCGTTCGATACAAAATTAATTGTTATTTCATATTCCAAAATTGATATAGAGTTATATTATAAGTTTCATATTATATAATTTTGCTTAGATTTGAATAAAAAAATTAGATTGTAAAGAATATCAAATATATGCTTAGTTACACTTTAATACGTAGATATTATCATTCTACTAATAATCCGTCTAGTAATTCAAATTTTCTATTACAAATGTAAATAAATTTATTATTAGAATTTTGAATAAGACTTATAAGACGATATACGATTCCAATATACGAACAAGTACAATATTATTGTTAAATAATAACAAAAAAAATTTAATCAAATGAAAAAACATTTCTATATCATACCATATATATATGTGTGTACGTTCATTTCGTTTCATTTCCTTTCATTTTAACATTATCATAGAAGGAACGAAGAATACGAGAAACGTGAGGCAGGCCAGTGTTCGGAAGCCCTCGGTTTGCCAGGATATCAGAAAGATACGGAGCCAAGTGCATATCAAGACGAGCGCGATCTTAGCAGAGTTTTCGAGCGTATGAAACTTTCGTGAATTACATGTTAGCCGCGTAAAAAGGGAGTAACGCGGAGTGGCCGCGCTGCGCATCGTTTGCCCCACTACCTCGTAAAAGCGCTCTCTCGGCGACGAAAACGCGCTGAATGACGAATAAGAACAGCGTTGCGCGCGCTGACTCGCAAATGCGCAAGGACCGCGCGACGCAGAGACACGCTTGGTGACTCTTCGCGTTCTAATAGACTCTGAATTAATTTTGGATGATTTTCATGTTTTTCTTTTCTTTCTTTTTTTGTCGTTCTTTTTTTGTTCTTTTTTCTTTTTTTTTTTTTCCACCAAGGAAAGAAATTTGTTCGTTCTTTAAGATGACTTCAATGAATGTGAATTTTAAAAACTCCAAGTGTTAGACTAAAATTTTGATCGACGACTTGTTAAAATCATTCCAGTTTGAGTGCTACTCTTTTAGATATCATCGTGTTACCTCTTCACGTTCGAATAGTTCATCAGGATGGTAGCAATCACTGTAGGCATTCTATGTAATATATATCCCGGATGTAAGATTAGAAATGTGGTCTTTTCATTAAATGAAATGTTAAAGCTTTTGCGAAATACATTTTTTTAGAACAACGAATGATAGGGATATAACAACAGATTATTAGAAAATTAAAATAATTTTAATTATATTAATATGTGTAATTAGTTTAAATAATATACATTTATTATAGGAGAAGAAAAATTTATAAAGAATGTACAGAAATTATTTGTTTTAATAATCAGCTCCTATATATTCGTAATATTAGTATATCTTAAAAACAAGATATTAGTCGATTTGATCTTTTTAATCTTCATAAATTATAGATATACTAAGATAATATACTAAGATAATAACTTCTTATCTTGTTCTGAGAAAACAGGTTTATTTATATTTTCCGAAAAACATGATCTTGGTCAGGTATATTATCCGTTGTAGAGAATATCTTCTCAGCACTTGCTGATAATGCAACGTATATATTATATATACATAGATATTTTTTTATTAAGATAAAAATTTTTGAAAATTTAATTTCTCTTAATTTCTACTAATCTATGTTATCCAGGTTATTGTCCAATTTGTAGTTCCACTGAATACACTTTAGATTCAGTAACTGAATGTTCTTTAATATTATTTTTTATGAATATGAAATCTAAATTTCATGCTTTCTATATTCTGGAATATATATCATTGTCTATCATATCACGTAAGTAATATTTTTGTTACCGCTTCTCTAATTTTTTATTTAAGTAACTTTTTTCTGGCACAAAATCAGAATTCTTTTAATGAAGATTCAAGAATGAAACTATTTAAAAAAAAAAATTAATTTTAAGTATCTCAAAATTCGTTTACAATCGAAATCTTGACAATCAAATACAACTATTTTTTTTTTTAATTATATTATTGTATTATAATTTTCTATTACTAGATGCTAGTTATAAATGAGTAATTTAGTAAAAGGTATCGGTAAATACATTTTAATTTTCTATAAATATTAATCGTACGGGTGGTAATAGCATTATCACGAAATATCTGGTTTCCTGGTATTGGTTTACTGAACAAATATCCAAATATCCGGATACTTCAATATAAATATTTGTCAATCAGAGAAATAGTAAAAGCCATAGTTCAAAGAATATACATTTATTATATAAAAAAAAAATATATTTATAAAAATTATATGGACATAATTTCTTCTAATAACCAATTTCTATATTATATATATTATATATTAAAGATCAAATTGACTGATATCTATTATATATATATTATACACATATATATATATATGTGTATATATGATATTCAATATACTTAGAAACGAAATACTAGTCGTGTTGATCTTAATTAAGAAAACAGAAGAAAAAGAAATATTGATAGTTAAGTGTTAATATCGCGTTCAATTACGATATACTATTTTTATTCTTGGCGCCTCGAAAGATGTACGCATCAAAATGTATCGAGATATCTGTCAATGGCGGACAATCGAGAGTCTCGACTTTGGCTTGACTCTCGATTTTCACGTAATACTCGAATCGATTCGGTCGGATATATCGAAGGATAGAAAGCAACGACAGTCCCGACCTCGGACATCTTCGGTAGTTATTTATCAGGAATACAGAAAACCGAGATAGAAACGAGCTTCGAGAGTTTCGCGCGCGCGCCATCGTCATCATCGACTTCTCGGTTCTTTCTCTCGAAAAAGTGAAAGATTCGAGAAGAACAATCGGAAGCCGTTTGGTTCGATACCGACATATAATTCTCGTTAATCGGACTATGCTCGTCGATATGCCGTACGGTCGAAACGCAAAACACTGTCGATTGCGTAAAGTCGAATGACGACGGGGAAAGCATAAACGACCAAGAGTAAAGTTCATTCGACGATAAACCAAAAGTGAGATCATCGAGAAATTTTTACACACGCACATGTATGCATACATATCGTATATACAAAATTTAACGATAAATCCATTTTTTTTCAGAGTACTTACTGATTAAGATTGTCCATCATTTTGTAATCTCCACCGGATGTGTTGATCTTCGTAATGAGACCAGGCTGCAATTTGTTCATAAGCTTGCATAATAATACACCGTCTCTTAAAGCGTCCTCGTAACTGACTTCTAAACAGAAAACGTTTAATTTCATTCTTTTTTTATTAAAATTTCATAAAATATAACAGATTATATATAGAATATTTGTTAATTTAATAATAATTCGATACAAGAAGGAAACAAAATTGACTTCATAAATGATCGAAGGAGATAAAGAAAATATCAAAGAATATCCAATAAGAAGAAAATACAAAGAGCAAGAATGAGAGAGAGAGGGAGAGAGACGAGAGAGAGAAACAAGAGAAAGAGAGAAAGCAATTTTGACAAGGAAAAGAATGCGAAGGAGCGAGTTTGCACCAGGAACACAGAATAAGTCGTTCCCGCCCTTCCGAAAACGCAGAACGAAGGCTCTTGATTTTCAAGCGCGCAGTCGCGTCCATAATATTCGGTTATTGCACTCTACATCGAATGAGTAAAGAGGTTCAACAAGGGAAGAACGCTCTCGACACACGCAACACGTACACCAACCAAACACGCACGCGCATACACATCTTTTTTATCTTTTTTTAATTGCTTTCTTGTCTATTCCACGTGTGGGACGAACGTAATAATAAAATAAAACAAGTGAGATAGGAACGAAAGGAAGGAAAGTACGACCAGCGCTCTCTCATGGTGTCCCATTATGCCAAGAGGTGAGCCAAGGGGGCATGGCATTTTTTGCTGACTCGTCGAAGGATCGCGAGAATCACCGCCTTCGTCTTCCATCAAAGCTAGCCTTCCCTCCATTCATTCGTTTCATTTTTTGTTTTTTTTTTTTTTCCTTTATTCATGAATAAATTCTATTGAGAGCAGAGAGCATCTCAGAGTCGCCATCGTTCTTCCATTTCTCTTCTTCTTTTTCTTCTGTTTCCTCTTCTCTTCGTGGCGTCTTCGTGAAATCCCTTCTTCCTCTCTCTTACGAAGAAGAGAGGCTATCAAGAAAAGCATTTTAGTCGCCATTCGAAAGACGCGCCGCATCTCGAATTGCCAGGGATTTAGCTATCCTCAGGAGTTCTTTTCTATATATTGCTCGTATACATGTATGTATTCTTTTTTGTTTTTTTCTTCTTCATCGTTCTCTTCCCCTTTTTATCTCCTTTTTTCTTTCGTCTTCTTTTTTCCTTCGATTCCCTCCACTCTACGCCGCCATTGACGTATCGAACCTATCGACGACAGCCACGCCACCTGTCGTCACACGACGCTTGCGCAACCTATCGATAATGGGAAGAGATAAACCAATATATTCTCTCTTCCTCTCTTAGTCATTTTTTCTTTCTTTTTTTCTTTCTTTCTTTCTTTCTTTTTTCTTTCTTTCTTTCTTTCTTTCTTTCTTTCTTTCTTTCTTTCTTTCTTTTTTTCTTTCTTTTTTCTTTCATTCTTTCTTTTTTTTTTTCTTTCTCATTCTACGCACTTTTTCCATCTTCCATTCGGACATAACAGAGAGACGGCAATGGATAAATTATGCTTAATAACTTCTTTTATTATTTTTTCAAATTTAATTTTTCCAAAACTATAATATATTCCCTGAGAGATAAGAAAAATTTATAATGATAATAAAGTACTGAACTATATTTCAGATGCTAGATTTGATTGTAAGGCTACTAACAAGATTGATAAACGTATTATAGCAGTCAAAAAAATTAATAAATTTTACTTTAAATAAAAACGATTTTATAAAATATATGTTTATATATTATTAAGTAAGTTATAGTGAGGAATTAGTCCTGTCCAAAACGAAACTTTTAAAAAAAAAACTAGGGTCTTAATGTTCCCCATTTGATGTAATCATCTTTGGATTAATGTACCCAGAGGAAACTTTCTTTGATAAATATTCTTGATCTATATAATAGTTTATAATGGTAATAAAATACCAAAGTATATAGGTTTGATTATAACTAAAAAAATTAATAAACATATTTAATAATTAGTACTTTTTCATGAAAAGGTCTAAAAAATTTCATTTAACGTTCCTTGAAAAAAAAATTATTTTCTTCCTTGAAATTGTTTTATACGTACACAACGATATAAATTGCTAAATTCAGATAATTATAAGGTGATAATAAGAGTCCATAAAATAGAATCGTAAAAACTAAATATATACATTGTAACCGAATAAATAGTCATAAAAAAATAGTTTAATTATTTTTTTTCGTGTCTAACGTGTCTTTAAACGATCTATTTAAATTTTAGATCCGTTTATAGATCGATGAAATAGAGAAATTAGAGAAAAAGAGAGAAAGAGAGAAGACAAGGTTCCATCTTTACGCATGTTCAGGATGGCCGTAGGATAGACGATTCTGAGGAATCAGGCGCGTATAGAAACGCATCGTATGTGCCTACTACTCGCTCCGCCCTGCATACCATTGTTGCATAATGGGGATGGAAATATATGCAGCGTCTATGAATATGAAAGTTGCGGAGTTACTAAGAAAACATACTTGGCCTCGAGTATCTCTTCGTTTGCTGTGCATTCTCATCACAAGAAATAGGATTTAGAGGCTCCTTTCAAAACTACTCGTCCTTTCAATCGTAGAAACTGTGAAACGAAAGAAGGCATCTTGTTCTGTTTACAAGAATAATAGAGAGAGAGAGAGAGAGAGAGAGAGAGAGAGAGAGAGAGAGAGATAAATAGAATGAGTGAAAAAAATGAAAGCAACACTTCGATTACTAGTCGATTCCAAGCAACGATAACGTTTTCGGGCAGAGTACACGCGTGCCAGCTTTTCGATAAACTACCATCCTGATCCTGCAAGGACGATGCGTCACGTGGTTCTGCCTTGGAGTGGTCCGGATAAAATGCCTACCCTAAAATCTGCTCGCCTAGTATAAAACTGGTCGCAAGCCTGAGTTCTGGATTGACGAGCGATCGACAGCCGATAGTTTTCGAATACCTTTCGATTTTCTTATTCTTTGAGAATAAACTAAACTGTCCAAGTATTTTTGGATAATTTTTCTAATTAATGCACGTATATCTTTCTTCATAATAGTAAAAAGTAATAGTCCTGATAAGTCATATATATATATATATATATATATATTAATACATAATTAAAATCGAGCTATCATGATAAAAAAAAAAATTGAGATAAAGAGGAATACGGTTTTGCCTTCGAGTGTAAAACATCGGATTGGTACCAGGGTTGTATTACGCTCAAAGTATAGTCCCTCTCTCTCTCTCTCTCTTTTTTTTTCTCCTTTTCTCATTCTCCTCTGTTCTATCTCCTTCGTTTATCATTTTCACGTGCCTCTTTCTTAACTTATTTCTTCTGCTTTCTTAGAATACGTTTCTATCCTTGGGGACTCCCCCCGATCTCCTCACGTGCCAGGCACTCATGAAGTCATCGTTAGTACTCGACGTGTGAAAGAATTCATTGCAGTTTCAAGCATGTTTAAGTCGCTTACCAGCAAATAAAATATTAGAGAATATTTTTTTCTTAGCTAATTATGGTCTAACACGTGTCTGATGTACTGTCAAGCTGTAGATCATATTTTATTCTTAATTAATTATCTTTTTATAGTATTAAAATATTTTATTATCTTTTTATAGTATTAAAATATTTTATAAAAATAATTGAGATTTTGTAAGTAAATAATATATTATATTATATATACAAATAAGATTAGAGAAGTTTTAGTTTTATATATACCATAAGTAGATACTCATTACTATGCTTTAACATTATTCATTAATCAATAGGAAACAGTTTAATCGAAAAATTGCTTTGAAAATTGAAAGTATATATATACATGCATTTGGGTTTCAATTATAGATCGAATCTACGGATAGTCTTGAGTATAGTTCAAGTACTTGAATATCCGAATAGTAAGAGTACAAGTGTACATGATATATCAGAAACAGAAGAAATCAATTTACATTTGGCTAAGTAGAAATTAAGAAAATAATTATAGTATAAAAAGTTAATTTTATGTTAAATTTAATTCATTTTTGAATTTACAATCGTCGATCAAATTTAATCTTCTAATTAAATGAGATTCAATGATCTAAATCCTGATCTAAATTAAATTAAATTAAATTAAACTAAACTAAATGAAGCAAAATATTTCTTATTTATTTACCCTTATATTCTAATAATTATTTTTTGGGTGTTTTCTCTAATAAAGGAATTAAACATTTTAAAGTATAATTGAATTTTATTCTGTTTTTTTATCTTTCTACTTTAAGTATATTTGCATATACTTTTCTTTCTTCACATTCTAACATCCTTTCACGTAGATTATGTAGTGTTATTAATTTCTTAGTTTTTTCTTTTACATTTTTTGGGAAAATGCTAGTTTAATAGAATATTGGGAACAGAACTGTTGTATGATATAAAAAACTGTTTCCTAAAATTAATATTAGCAATAATATTTTTATTACAATTATTACTACTCTCATACTTATATTGATTAAAGTTAAATAAACACAATTGTTTAATTAATTAGAAATATATGAGTTATCTATTAGGATTTTTTACATTTTTTACATTGTATTGAATTAAAATTTTCTGTTATTTCCGACTGTGCATTATTAATATCTGATTGGACAGTATTTATATGTTCATTATATTTAAGTTGATATTATTTTATTAAATTGATGTACATTATATTGAATTGATATTGGAATTGAAGTAAAACTTTCCTGATTATTCATAATTAACATCAATGATATTAATTATTTAAATTAATTATTGTTAATTATTTAAATTTAATTTTAATATATAATATATAATATATATATTTTATTAGACTATATTTTTAACGCTTCACTTTTGAACTGAGAAGATTTTATAATGCGTTGTGTCTGATAAGTATAAGTACTTTTATTATACTGCAGAAAATGATGACCCCTGGACAAATATATTGTAAAGATATAAAGTGATTGGTGGCATTCAACAGAAAATCTTGCAAAAATTCCAAAGCTGGATTATTGTATTGAATGTTTTAACGTAATAAAAATATGTATATATTCTAATCATGATGTCACATGTTATCATATGTAACGTTATGGCATATGATTTTACGTAATGAGA